TACTGCCTTTTACCAAGGCAATAGAATATTAGACTGGTACACCCGGCAGCGATTGTATTCGCCAAGCAGTGGCGAACAGGTCATGTAAAAACAGACAAGGACATTCATTTTCCAAGTCAACGACACCTTCAAAGCCGCAGTGAGAATGCTACCTTGTGAAACCAACTATGAAGGCTTTAAAACCATAATTCCTTGGCCTCTACTTGTAAAATAATCTCCTTTTTTTTTTTTGTAAAATTCGATTTTCTTTTCTTCATATTTTTTTTTATTTCTTCTTTCGTTCCAATTTCACTTAGCTGACTATTATATTTCTTTTTCCTGTATATATTCTTCTATAGACTATAAAAAAAAAAAAATTTTATTCATAGTAAAAACAACTTTCTCAATGTATTTTCTAAGCATACACATTAGACTTTCGATTTTTTGCACAGCGTTAATTGGCCAAGATTGTTATCGTTTTTACGATCACATCGGCCTTATTAACGATTTCAATTTAAACTTTATACGGCAATCTGATCTTTATTCAAATCTTTATTTGCTATCATTGGCTTTAATTGTCTTTGGGCAACCCGGAAGCATCAATTAGTAAATATTATACTAAACATTAGTTTATAATTTCTCTAACATTGTAAAGAATTCCTTGGACAAAATACACAGTGTTACTACTTCTAGAAAAAAAAAATTATTAGCCAGAAATTACGCTTGAATAAATAGAAAACTTTTCTGTAAATTTTCTATCTAATATTGATAATAATAATAATAATTTAAAGACATTGATTTGATTTTTTGTAGTTCTTTAAGCTCCTCCTACAATGGTACCTAACTCCTCCCATTGGATAAAAAAGTTACACCCCTTTTCATTATTAAAGGGCGTGGCTTACTAATAGACTCCTCCTTCTAAAAGTCCCTCCTCCCTTGAATAGGTTTCTCCACCCATTCATGTTGCCTAAATCTTAAACTCTGCCCATCAGTTAGTCGCACTACTAACTGACGACGACCATTTTTATAGCTCCACCCAGAGGCGGAAATTGTGTCCCACAGTTTTATGTTCCGCCTATCGGTTTCTTAAACTATTAACTGACTCCGCCCATTATTATAGCCCCGCCAAAGAGGCGGAAGCTTAATGATATCGCACTATTTTAAACTCCGCCCATCAGTTAATTAAACTATTAACTGACTCCGCCTATTTTCATGGCCCTTCCCAAAAAAACGCAAGAATTTAATTATGCTCCATCATATTAGGCTCCACTCATTTTCAAAGCCCGCTCAGAATACTAGAGCTCAATTATGCCCCACTATATTAATTTCTACCCATTAGTTACTTTTATTGACTCCGCCCATTTTTATAGCCGCGCCCAAAAGACAGGAGGCTAATTATGCCCCCAACATATTAAGCTCCGCCCACCAGTAACTTACACTATTAACTGACTCCGCCCATTTTCATGACCCTGCCCAAGAGGTGGGATCTTAGTTATCGCACTATTTTAAGCTGCGAGCAACAGGTACTTAAATTATAAACTGACTCCACCTATTTTCATAGCCCTTCCCATAACGCAAGAATTCAATTTTGCCTTGTCATATTAGGCTCCGCCCATTTTTATAGCCCTGCCCAAAGGACAGGAGCTTAATTATGTCCCCAACATATTAAGCTCCGCCCACCAGTAACTTACACTATTAACTGACTCCGCCCATTTTCATAACCCTGCCCAAGAGGCGGGATCTTAGTTATCGCACTATTTTAAGCTCCGACCATCAGTTACTTAAACTATAAACTGACTCCACCTATTTTCATAGCCCTTCCCATAACACAAGAATTCAATTTTGCCTTGTCATATTAGGCTCCGCCCATTTTTATAGCCCTGCCCAAAGAACAGGAGCTTAATTATTCCCCCACCATATTAAGCTCCGCCCACCAGTTACTGAAACTATTAACTGACTCCGCCCATTTTCATAGCCCCGCCCAAAGGACATTAATTATGCCCCACCATGTTCAGCTCAGTCCATCAATTACTGGAGGTATAAATTGGCTCCTCCTACTTTTATTGACCACGCCCCAGTAGGGAAGATCCTAATTATTTTTTCATAAATTTCTCAAATTATTTCACGCCCCTTTTTTTGATTAAAGAAATTCCGCCCACTTTTTACTACTAGTTAGGAGGAAAAGGTATACGAAAATCCTCTTGAATCAAGAATATTACTCTGAAAGAGTATTTTTTTCTTATTTTAAGAGGAATATTCTTAAATAGAGAATAATTCTCTTTAAATAAGATGAATCCTTTTAAATAAAGAATATATTTTTTTTCCGATGTAGGAAATATACTCCGACGAAAAAAATTTTTAATTTCGAAAAAATAATATTTCTATTACTCGCGGGTATTATTCAAAATATTTATTCAATGTTTTGCAACTTGAAAAAAAATACAAAACTTAAAAGTATTACTATTGTGCAAGTATATTGATATTAAAACACATTACAAAATATTTCTCTCGTTGCGGTGAAAAAAAAAAATAATTTGCGACAGTTTCATAAAAGATATATAAGTGTCCGGTTATCTTTTTTTGGAATTCTTCTTGTTTTTCACCTTTCTCCTTAAAAAAATAATTTTCAATTTTTACATACGTCAATACAAACAATTATTATTTTTAAAAAATAGGTCTTCCATTAAAAAAAATTAAATTTTGAAATTATTTAACTAAAATGTTTAATTTATAATTTTTTTTTTAATTTTTGCAAAAAAAAAAAAACAAAATGTGTAATATAAAAGAAAAAAATTTGTGTCTTGTAATTTTTATGACATTAATAATTTTGCCATTATCATTAAATTATCGATTGCCAAATAATGTAAAACCACATCATTATATATTGAAAATTGAACCATTTATGATTTTTGAAAATTCCACATTTAACGGAAATATTGAGATATTGGTGGAAATTTTAATTCCCACGTGGAATATAACGTTACATTCCTCAAAATTGACAATACGTGACGAGGCAACGGTTCTTATTGGCGCACAAGGAAAAATAATGCCAATTCAACATAATAATTTCAATGAAAATGATTTTCTTGTTTTAACATTCAAATCAATTTTAAAAGTGGGCATTTACATTTTAAAATTGAAATTCACCGGTTTAATAAATTATTATTTAACATTTGATTTTTATGGTGGAACGGGATTATGTTGGTATCGAAATAACAATGGAAATCAAACCAAGCAAGTATTTTCATCTTCCATTATGACAATAAAAAAAAAAAAATTATAATAAATTTTTAACATAAAAAAAAAATCAAAAGATATAGAAAAATAAATCAATTTTTTCTCATTACAAAGAATTTTAAAAAAAAGTATTAGATTTTTAAAAATTTTAATTTAAAATTAATTTAATTTTTATCACGATAGATTTTTGACATAACCTTAAAAAACAATTTTCAGCCGAATGAGAAATAAAAAAATAATTCTCTCCTACCCCCCCCCCCCCCACCAGAGAATTATTTTTTTTGTATTATGTTTTTTGAGATCACTGAAAACGGATCTGATGTCAATTTTACCCCATCACATCAGAAATTTTTGACATAACCTCTAAAAGTCTTCATTGGAACAGAAAAAGTAATTCTAGCCTAAAAATTTAGGGCATTATTTCTATTTACGTTTTTTGAATCGCTGAAACTTAATCCAAGGTCCATTTTACCCCATTATGGGGTAATGTCAAAATCCTGACTTGATGGGGTAAAAGTGGAGTTCAGGTTCATTTTCATCGTTCTCAAAAGAATACAATAAATACTCAATCTCTCGTAGGACAAAATTATTTTATTTTTTTTTGCAACTGAACCCTCACAGCACCAGATATCCGAGGATATTCCCAAAACATCCCTTGGATATCCTAGGGATACCCCAGGGATATCCTAAGGATACTTTAAGGATATCCAAAGTAGCGGCGGTTAGGATATCCTAGGGTTATCCCTGGGATATCTAAGGATGTCCCTAGGACGTCCCAGGGATATCCTAATTATTTCCCCGGATATTATTAGGATATCCTCAGGACGTCCTAAGGATATCTCAAGGATATCCCTGGAATAATTAGGGATGTCCTTAGGACGTCCTAAGGATATCCACAGTATGTCTATATTATCTTAAGGGTTAGAATATCCTTGAGTCGTTCTAAAAATGTCCCTAAGATATCCATAAAACGACCCTAACATACAAATTAATTAAATAAAAATGGAAAACATATTTTTTTGATGTATTTATAATGTATTTCCAAGATATCTAAAATGATTCACCTTGTCTACAAGAATTCTTTTTTCTACTTTTTCTTTAAAAAAATCTCTTGAAACTAACTCAAACGCTAACTGTTTGTATCAAAAAATCGCTATCTCAAATAGTCAAAATTTGAAACATAATGATATCCTAGGGAGATCTTAGCGATATTTCTAAAATATTTTAACGATATACCAAGTTTATCCCAAGAATATCCCCACGATATCACTAGGATATCCCTGGGATATACTTAGGATATCCCTAGAATATCCTCAGGAAATCTCCAGGATATCCTCAGTATATCCCAGGATATCCCCAGGATATCCTCAGTATATCCCAGTATATCCCCAGGATATCATCAGTATATCCCAGGATATCCTCAGTATATCCCCAGGATATCCCAAAAATATCCTACATAACGGCGGTTTGAATGTTCTGAGGATATCCTCAGGATATCCTAGGATATCCTATGGACGTTTTCAGGATATCCTACATTAGTTTAGGATATACTGTGGATATCCTCAGGATATCCTTTTGTTGTGAGGGAAATGTCTTTTTGAGGTTATGTCAAAAGCATGAAATAATGGGGTAAAATGGACATTAGATTTGTATTCATCGACCTCAAAAACATACAGTAAACATAGTCGGACCCTAAAAATATAATAATAATAATAATTATTATTATTATTTTTTTTTGATATTATTATTTATAATTATAATAATTAAAATAATTTCAGATATTATTTAACAACAAATTTACAACCAACCTATGCGCGTCAAGTTTTTCCATGTTGGGATGAGCCATCATTTAAAGCAACTTATGATATTTCAATTAAACATTATGCAAATTACACTGTGCACTCAAATATGCCAGTGAAAAAAATTACTACACCAAATGATGATGATAATAATAATAATCAACAAAAACTAATAAAAAATAATGTGAAAAAAATATGGACACATTTTAAAACAACACCATTAATGTCTCCGTATCATGTAACATTTTCCATATCAGATGTTGTCAATGTACAAAGTAGTGAAAAATTATTATCAATATGGAGTGAAAATGACAAAAATAATGATAATAATAATAATTCAAGTATAAAATCATTATTATTAATGGAATCATTGAAAATGAGCGATCAAGTATTAAAATTATTTGAAGGATATACAAAAATTTCTTATATGTTGCCAAAAATTGATATCATTACATTTCCCACTTTGGATAAGACTGAAAATTGGGGAGTAATTTACTTTTGGTAATTGTTTATTTTATTGCTAATATATTTGGTAATTTTTTTTTTTTTTGAAAAAGACGTGGGTGATAATTTTATTTTATATTCGAGGATAATGGGCGATATTATCGAAGAATATCAATTAGGAATATTCCATTTTTAAATATTTGAGAATACTATATGATAATATCTAAGAATATTATGGAACATTGTCCTAGAGTATTTATGTAATAATGTCTCTAAATGTTGTTTTGTAATATTTGACAATATTATGACGTAATATCTTATAATAATACGTAGTAATATCCGGTAATATCTCATAATTTTACGTAGTAATATCTTACAATACTATGTAGTAGTATTTTATAATTTGAAACTGTAATATCGTATAATATTTTAAACTAATATCTTGTAATAATATCGAGTAATATCTTACAATATTACGTAGTAATGTCCGATAATATCTTCTAATTTTACGTAGTGATATCTTGAATATTATAAAGTAATATCTTACACAAAATACGTAGTAATATCTGGTAATATATCATAATTTTATGTAGTAATATCTTACAATATTAAGTAGTAGTATTTTATAATTTAAAATTATAATATCTATAATAACTATAATATTATATTGTAAAGTAATATTTTTGTAATAATATCGAGTAATATATTACAATAATACGTAGTAATATCTGGTAATATCTCATAATTTTACGTAGTGATAACTTATAATATTTTGAAGTAATTTATATCCTTCAACATTATGCAGTAATATTTCAGAATTTTATATGGTAATATCTTGTAATATTATCGGATACTATTTTACAATATTAACCAGTAATATCCGGTAATATCTGATAATTTTACGAAATAATATCCGCGGTAATATCTGTTAATTTTACGAAGTAATATCCGGTAATATCTGATAATTTTACGAAGTAATATCTTATAATATTATAAAGTAATATTTTATAATTCAAAGCCATAATATCTTACAATATTATAAAGTAATATTCCTCAATATTGTGAAGTAATATTTCATAATTTGATCTAGTAGTATCTTAAAATATTTTAGAGAAATATCTTATAATATTATGTACTAATATCTGATAATATCTCATATTTTGTAATATTAATATTTGAATTTGCTTATAATTCCTAATATTTTAATTGAATATTCCAAATATTCCATGAATATAAAATGTAATATTCTATGCTCTATTGGACAGAATCATATTCGAAATTAATATAATATTGTTAAAATAAAAATAAGAAAAAATTGTTTTTCTACTTTTAGGGAAGAATCAATCTTTAAAAAGTCTGAATTTTTGTTAGAGGATAAAGAGAAAATATCATCAGTTATTGTTCCTGCTATTGCTCAACAATGGTTTGACAATTTAGTCACTCCACATTGGTGGTCAGATCTTTGGATAACTTCCGGTTTATCAACTTATTTGGGATATTTCGCAACTGCTAAAGTACTTTTTTTTTTAAATTATATTTAAAAAATTAATTATTAATTAATTAATTAATTAGATTACCTAAATATTCTTAATTATTATATTATATTATAATAATTAATTAATAATTACTATTAATTAATTATAAAAATTAATTATTCAAATTACTTGCAAAAATATTAATTATCTAGAAAAGTGCAGTGTTTAAAATTATCATTGAAAAATTAAATTAAATACATTTATATTTATTTTTCTAATTTGAAGGTGTTAAATATTCCCAGTCTCGTTGATTTTTATTTAATTAAAAAAATTCATGATGTTCCTCTTAATCGTGATATAAAGAATTGTAATGAATATATCATGGAAGATATCACATTGTCAAACAAACGTTAGTATAATTTTTCTTTTTCAATTTTTACCATAAAAAAAAAACTTGAAAAAAAAATTATTGAAATTTTTTTTTTAATTAATTTTTTTTTTTCAAAAAAATATTTAAAAAAACTAATAATTATTTTTATTATTTATTTTTAGCCGCCAAAATAATGCACATGTTAAACAGTTTAATAACCAATCGAGTTTTTCAAACAGGTGTGAGAAATATATTGCAAAAATTGTAAGTTAAATAATTTTTATTTTCACTAAACAGTTAAAAAAAACGAATATTCCTTTAGAAATTTTTTCTTATTAAATATTTAATTTTAAAAAATCTCAATTACATTATTTGTGTTGAATTAAAAACTATATTAAATGAATTTGACGAAATAATAATAAAATTGGCTAACAAATAAAAATAAATAATTTTTAGCAAATTTAAGTCAATAAAAAGTGACGACTTCTGGTTTATTATGCAAGAATCTTTAAATAAATCGAGCTTGAGTAATAAAATTAATATCAAAATAGTGATGGAGCGTTATGTATTACAAACCGGATATCCAATAATTAACATGTATCGAAATTACACAACTGGAACAATAAAATTGACTCAAGAATGTTCATTGGATTTTAAAAATATTATTAATAATAATGATACTTATAATAATAATAACAACAACATTAAGAAAAAATGGTGGATTCCAATAAATTTTGCAACAAGTGAATCATTTAATTTTATGTCAATTTTCGCAACACATTGGCTAAAACCAGATGAAAATGAATTAACTATTGAAGGCGTTCATTTAAATGATTTCATTATTTTTGATAATCAAGTCACTGGTAATAAATAAAAATTTATGGAAAAATTATAATTTTTTAAAAAAATTCAGTATAATATCTGACAATATTCAAGGAATATCTCAAAAATTCATGGTAATATCTGACGATATTCCAGGAATATCTCAAAAATTCATGGTAATATCTGACGATATTCCAGGAATATCTAAAAAAAAATCATGGTAATATCTGACGATATTCCAGGAATATCTCAAAAATTCATGGTAATATCTGACGATATTCCAGGAATACCTCAAAAATTTATCGTAATATCTCAGTTATGAATAATATGTTAAAATATTAAAAGAATATCACAGTAACGGATAGTAATATTTGACGATATTACAGGAATATATCCAAAATGTACAGTAATAACTGACGATATTCCAAAAATATATTACAAATAATATCCAATAATATCTGACAATATTCCAAAAAATATTTATCACAAAAATTGATGTTAATATCTAAAGTTAGGAATACTTTTTAAAATATTCAGTAATATCTGAAACTATCCAAGAAATATTTCCTCAATGATAAAATAATATCGTTTAATATTTTTTGGACTGTTAGAAAAATATTTATAATATTCGAAATATTCCGCAACTAATATTTATGAAATACTTTTTTTTCTCAATAATGACCAAGTTTATTTTAGGAATAATCCATGAGTATTTTAGTAATATTCGAATATCTGGAATATCTGTAATACTGGAATATCTCGAAAATATCGTTCTCAAAATAATTTTTGAAATAAAAATGTCTATTATAAATATTATAAATATTTTATGTTATTTTTTACAGTAATGTCTAGTAATATCCGATAATATATTGTATGTATCTGTTAATTTGAAAAATACAAAATCATATTTTAGGAATATTGAAAAATATCCAATAATATTCAATATTTCATAAATATATTTCATTATTGAAATATTTAATAATATTATTATTATATTTATTAATATTTGATTATTGCGTAATATTTTACAATATTCTAGTAATATCTAAAACAAATTAGATAATATCAGATAGTATTCGTGGAATATTGAGATATTAACTAATTTGTAACAATATTACTGGAATATTAGTAGAATATTGTCAAATATCAATTAAATTCTATGAAATATTCCACATATATCTGAGGATATTACTTAATATTTAACAAAATGGTAATAATATTTTTAATTTATTAATTAATATCATATTCACGGAATATTTTTGAGATATTAATGAATATTATGAAAAATTAAATAAAACATTGTGAAATGTTACTTAATTTTCTCTAGATATTAGTAGAATATTTTTGAACATTATGTAATATCAGTTAATAATTTTGTAATATTTTGAGGATATTAAATAATGTTATAAAATATTTTATGTCAAATTAATAAAATATTGACAAATATTACTTAATATTTTCGAGATATTACTAGAATATTTTAAATATTCATAATATTATAAATATTCAAAATGTTTATAATATTATAGTAATATTTTAGAAAAATCAGTAAGTAATATCAGTTAATAATATTCTAAAAATATTTTTTTAAGGATATTAAGTAATATTGAAAAATGTACTAAAAATAATCCACCTAGATATTCCAGAGATATTTTTTAATGAAAAATAATTCTTTCAGGATTTTATCGTGTAAATTACGACAAAAGAAGCTGGATTAAAATATCAGATTATTTAAATTCGGAAAAATTTCATAAAATTCATTTTTTAAATCGTGCTAAACTTTTACAAGACGTCACATGGTTTTGGCAAAATAACAAAATGGAGACAAATTTTTTTTTAACATTTGTCTCATATTTAAAACGTGAAAGCAATGTTATTCCTTGGTTTCAATTTCATGATATTCTTTCATTTGCGTTTAAAATTGATGATACAATATTTCAGGTAATTTTAAATACTAGTATTTTTTTCTTTCTTTTTTTCATATGAAATTTTTAGCGTTTGTTGTAAATAATTTTTTTTCAGTATTGAATTTTGAATAAAAAATATTTAATTTACATTTTCAAATAATTTTAATAAAAAAAATTTTTTCTTAAATATTTACTTAAAAATTTTTAACTTTTAATTAAAATATATTTTTAATATTTATTTTTAAATAATATTGATAATATTGCTAATAATTAATAAATTATTATAGAGTAATAATAATTAAATAATTAATTTTTTTTTTGCATATACAGAACTTGGTGGAACTTTTAGTTAATTCTGTTCTCGAGAAAAGAATTTTTGACAACGAAAAAAATGATGAATTCTTGGTGAAGAAATTGTTATATATGGCAAAATATTGGAAAGAAAAATTCAAATTTTATTCTTCAAGGAAAAATTAGTTTCTTTACTTTAAAAATTTGACTAAATTTGATAATTATAATAATTTTAATTTTGGCAAATTTTTTTTTTCATTTTACTTTTCTATTAATTTTCATTGTTAAATATTATGTTCGTAATATATATTAATATTCCTGTTAAATAATTATAATAATTGACAAATAAAATAATAATAATAATAATAATAATAGAAATAAAATATTATTAGTAATTAAACAATTACAATCATTTTAATTATTAAATAATGGTATACATAAATAAGTAACATTATTTTTAAATAGAAAAATATCAATTTTTTGTTTTAAAGTAAGAAATAATATTTAAAGATGAAAATTTACAACGGTTAAGAAAATATTATTGATTTTTCGTTGGTAAGATTACGTAAAATTTTTTAACGATAAGATAAACAATATTTGAATAGATCAAAGATATAATATAAAGGATGTGGAATTTTCTAGTAAAGTTTTACGTCATTTCTACTTAAAAAAAAAAATCTCGATATAAATTTCCGTTTGACACTGGGTTTAAACAGTGTGCTTGAATCATTGTAGGAGTTGACATGAATTTCCTGCTCTTCATTATAATAAAGTATATTCTAAAATTTCAGTTACAAAATTAAATACCGAAAAAAATTGAGAAAAAAAATTGGAAGGTTAGTTTTTAAACTTGAATTTTTTTATTTGTTAATTAATGTATAATATTAACAATAAATATGTAATTCAACAATTTGAAAAAAAACTTTTAATATTCAAATTTCATGCCAAAAGAAATTTTATTCTAAACATAACCTCAACTTGGCGCGAAATTTGAATTTTCAAAATCGTTAATTTTTTTAAAAAACTGAATTTTTTTTTATATTTTAATTTAAATTTCTATTCAAATATTTGTACATTTTATTTTCAAAAAGAATTAATTTTTATTCCTTAAAAAAATGTTAAATTTTCATAATTATTTCTTTACTTATTTGAAATATTTTTTTCCAGAATTTCATTAAATATTTACCAACTCGGTCGTAGATATTATTGAAAATTACAAAAAAAAAAAAAAAAAAATATGAAGCACATTCACCTGAGCATTTTACTATTTACCTTTGTCGAGTTTACGCAACAGTCAATAAACTATCGATTGCCAAATGCCACAAAACCACTTCATTATAAATTAAAATTCGAACCGCACCTGTCTAAGGATAATTTCACATTTGACGGTGAAGCAGAAATTCTCGTCGAGATTTTAAGTAAAACAAATAATATAACATTACACTCGGTGAATTTAACGATATTTGAGGAAGAAACTTTTCTCATTGGCGAAGAAGAAAATAATAATAATAACAATTTTTCACAGCCAATTGAACATATTTATGAGGATGAAAGTGAATTTTTCATTTTAAAATTTGACAATCAATTGCAACCGGGAAATTATACGTTAATGATAAAATTTACAGGCGCAATGAATGATGAACCTCGAGGATTTTTTTGGGATTCTTATACGAATGATAACAACGAAACTATGTAAGTTAAAAAAAAACAAAAACTGAAATAGTTATTTAATTAATTTCTATTGGTGCACGCCTCTAGTGCCCTTATTGCTGCATGGGCGTGATTCTCCTCTTCCACTGCAGTTAAACCCGCCTCTAGTACGTCCTTATTGGTTCATGGGCGTGGCTCTCCTCCCTCACTGCTGTTAACCCCACCTCTGATAGGCCCTCAATGGTACATGGGCGTGACGCTCCTCCTTCATTCCAGTTAACCCCGCCTCTAGCACGCCCTTATTAGTCTAGCGGCGTGGCGCTCCTCCTCTACTGTAGTTAACTCCGCCTTTAGCACGCCCTTATTAGTGAATGGGCGTGACGCTCCACCTTTTCTGCTGTTAACTCCGCCTCCAGCACCCTATTATTGGTTTATGGGCGTGGCGCTCCACCTCCAGTACTTGTGACTCCGCCCTTAGCACGTACTTATTATTGCCTGGGCGTGGTACTCCTTCCTCCACTATACGTAGCTCCACCTCCAGTGAGCTATGTTTGTTTATGGGGCGTAACTATTCTCAATTAGGATGCCCTAATTGATACATGGGCGTGATTCTCCGCCTCCAGGACGTTCTACTTGGTACGCGCATGGACGTGGCTATTCTTAACCAACACACCCCAATTAATTAATGGGCGTGACTTTCCTCCTCCAGGGCGTTCTATTTAATACTCGCGCTTAACTCCGCCTTTACCATGTCCTAATCGATGCATGGGCGTGACTATCTCCCTGCAAAAGAAGTAACCACGCCACTAAAGTGCTCCTATTGGTGGATGGGTGTGACTATTCTCAACCACTACGCTCTAATCGATGCCTGGGCGTGATTCTTACCCTTAAAAAGATATAACCACGCCTTTAAAACGCTTTTATTGTTACATGGGCGTGGCTATACTTATCCAACACGCCCTAATCGATTCCTGGGCGTTCTACTTAATACTCGCACGTAATTTTACCTTAAAATTTAACCTTTAATATTTTTTTCTATTCTAACGTTCAACCATTTATTTCTAGATATTTGTCCGCAACTCAATTTGAAACGAGTTTTGCACGCATGGCTTTTCCCTGCTGGGACGAGCCAGCTTTAAAATCGACTTTTGAAATTTCAATCAAGCATTTTTCAAATTATACAGCTCTCTCGAATATGCCAATGGAAACAATCATTTCTGATGATGATGATGATGATAATAATGAGAAAATTTGGACAATTTTTCAAATTACACCTCTAATGTCCACGTATTTAGTTTGCTTTACAGTCACGAATTTTGTCAATATTTCCCATGTTGAAGGTAATTTGACAATTTGGTCACGTAAAGATATTATTGATACCATGAATCTTGGACTTGAAATTGCATCACGTGCTTTGACAGTTTTGGAAGAGTACACTGGTATTCCATATGAATTGCCAAAAATGGATATTATTGCAATTCCAAATTATATTCATGGTGCAATGGAAAATTGGGGATTGATTGTTTTCAAGTGAGTAGTTTTTCAAAAATTTATTTAAAAAAAAAAATTAAAAATTTTTTTCCTTTATTTAGACAAACGTGGCATATTTTGATGGAATTTAAAAAAATTTTTATTTTCATAAAAAAATATTTTATACTTTAAAAAAAAATTTATATATATTTTTTTTTAATTTTTGCAAAAAATATAACTTTTTTAAAAAAAAAATTGTATACTTTTGCGAAAAAAAAATATTTTTTTTTACTTTTTTCAAAAAAAGTATTTTTTTTTTTTTTTTTAAATTATTTTATAGGTACTTTTTTTTGAAGAAATTTATATTAAAATTTTTTTTCCAAATTTAAAGAGAGGAATATCTTTTGAGAAACGACAGCTCTTTAGAAAGCGACATATTGAAAACGTACAAATTTATGGTTCATGAAGTTGCCCATCAGTGGTTCGGAAATCTGGTTACTCCGGCTTGGTGGGATGATTTATGGATAACGGAAGGACTTGCTTCTTATCTTCATTATTTTCTGACAGACAAGGTTCATTTGCCTTAAAAGTTCAAAATAAATCATTCATCAATAAATTAATTATTACATATTTATATATATTTTCAATTAATAATTAGAGTTAATTAATTATATATAAAAAGTAATTATTATTTAATTACAATAATTAATTAACAAATTATTTAATTAATTATTAATTATAATAATAATAATAATAATAATAATAATAAATTTTTTAAATAGATATTAATTTTTAATATTAATTTATAAAAAAAATTGATTAAATAATAATTTTTTTTTTGAATATTTCTTCTTTTTCGAAGGTCTTTAATTTTCCAAGAATGATGGACCTTTTTGAAGTCAGCAATACATTTAAAGTCTACGAAAAAGACGAACAACTTTCTCTACCTTTATTTCGCAATGTGACATCATCAAGGGAATCGCATAATCTTTTACTTGGAGTGCACGACAAGTGTCAGTTTCATTTAAAATTTTAATAAATTTTTCATTCTCATAGTAATTTTATTTTAATTTATTACAAAAAAATTAATAAAATTATTAATTTTATAAATTTTTTTAATTAATTTCTATAGCTGCTACAATGATGCACATGCTAAGTAGTTTAATGTCAAAGGAAGTTTTCCAAACAGGATTAAGAAAACTTTTACAAAAATAGTGAGTTTAAATTTTAATTTAAAATAATAAATAAATAATTAATAATATTCAAAATTATTTGAAATTAATTTACGGTACTTGTAATTAATAATTTTTAAAAAGCAATGTTTGAAAAATAATTATAAAATTAATAAATTATTAACTTATAATTAAATAATAATAATAATAATTTATTTATTAGTTAATAAATATTGCCTTTAATATAAATGTTTTTTAAATCTGTTAATATTTATATAAAAATTAAAAAAAAAAAATTTTTTTTTTAACGAATTTAATAAGTTGAAAAATGAAAATATTTTTAAAAAATCGATAACTTTTAGCAGGTATGGAACAATAACAACTGATGATTTTTGGCAAACATTACAAGAATCATTGAATGATTCAAATAAAATAATAATGAATAATAATTTTGAAATAAAAAAAGTAATGGAATCTTATATATCACAAATAGGATATCCTGTGATTAATATGTCGCGAAATTATACAAGCGGTACAATAACATTGTCACAAGAATGTATAATTTGTCCGGAAAATGAAACAGAATCAAAATTTTGGATTCCAATTAATTTTGCGAAAAGTTCGTCATTAAATTTTTCATCTACAATTGCAAATTATTGGTTGAGTCCTGAGGAGAAGGAATTAATTATTGAAGGAATTTCACCTGATGATTGGATTATTTTTAATATACAAAATAGTGGTGAATTCTCATTATTTACTTTTTATTTATTTGATTGATTAATTGTTATCTAATTAATGAAAATATTATTAATTAATTAATAACAGTTAGATGTAAAATTTAAATTAATTATAATAATTAGTTAATTATTAAGTAATTTATTAATTTTTAGAATAACTACATAGTTAATTAATTAATTAATATAATTATTATATTTAAAAAATCATTATTATTATTAATTATTATTTAAATAATAATCATAATTATTATCCTCATATTTCTTTTCTTAAATTTTAATTATTATTTTTTATTACAAAAATTTTGCACAAAATTATTTTTTTTTATATTATTATTGTAATATTAATTTATTTATAAATTATGAAAATTATTTTTAGCCTATTATCGTGTAAACTATGATCAACAAAATTGGGAGATCATATCAAATTTTTTGAATTCGAAGAATTTTTCCCAAATTCACATTTTAAATCGAGCTCAATTATTAGACGATGCATTTTGGCTTTTTAAACAAAATAAACTTGATAGAGATTTTCTTTTAAATCTCACATTATACATGGCACGTGAAGTAGATTACATTCCATGGGTTGCATGTGATGCAATTTTACTTTATTTTCAAACACAAAATGACACACTAAACTTTAAGGTACGAAATTTTTATTTAATAAAATTCAAACAAAAAATTTCATTATTTTTCGTTTATTTTCAGTTAAACCACGAAATAAAATAATAAATTATTAAAACTGAAATTAAAACAAAAATATATTTTTATTAATTAAAAAATTATTCTATACAGGAGTACACTTTGAATTTAGTGGAGGCCCTTGTCGAAGATTCGGGTGTCGATCAAAAAGAAAGTGACGATATTTTTACAGTTTTTAAACGATTTATTGGCACCTATTGGAGTTGTGCTGCTGACAGACGTTATTGTAGTAAAATCAAATGGTAATTTACTTAATATAATAAAGTGACAAAGCTGAATTTATATAAATTAATATTATATTTTATTCATGGAATATAAAAGAAATAAAAAAGCAATTAAAAATCGAATTTGATTTATTTATATATAATTTGTTTTACTGAAGAAAAAAAAATTAAACATTAGTCCCGCCTCCAGTGTTTGTTGATTGGTCCATGGGCGTAACTATCCCCTCTCCAGCGCAACTTGATTCGCACTGAAGCATAACCCCGCCTCCAACTTTCGTTGATTGGTCCTTGGGCGTAACTATCCCCTCTCCACCGCTCGTTGATTGGTCCCTAGGCGTAACTATCCCCTCTCCAGCGCGACTTGATTCGCACTCAAGCATAACTCCGCCTCCAGCTTTCGTTGATTGGTCCTTGGGCGTAACTATCCCCTCTCCACCGCTCGTTGATTGGTCCCTAGGCGTAACTATATCCCTCCTCCAAGTCGATTTCATTCGCCCTCGCACATAACTTCACCTTTATCGCAATCTGATTTGTACCTGGGCGTGGCTTTTCCCCCTCTATCGCCTGGTGATAAATTTTTTTCGTTTAAATAATCTATTACATTATTCACTTTAAAGAAATAAAATACAATTTACAAACAAATTAATTTAAAGGTGAGGAAAATTGTTAGTTAATTGAAATTGAAAAAAATGCAAAATTGAGAAAGTTATATTGACACGAGAATAGGGAGACAATGAATGTTGCAGCAAATAAATAAAGATTCCCATTTCTCGTATCGAAAGATAGAGAGAGAGAGAGAAAGACGATCCCACAATGTTGCCCGCAAGGCTTTTTAGAGAATCTAAAGAAGCGGAAGCCCCGTCCTTATACCTAAAACCACAATTGTTTTTCTTCACCATTTATTTCTCAACCTCTCTGTCTTACTCTTTCTCCCATTCCTTCGCGAAGAATCTTTCTCCTTCAATATAATACTCATCGTCTTCTAGGAAGTCCAGTAAATTTTTCTGAATGACAATTCCAGTGACTATCTTTTCCCCAAGAGTGGTGTGAATTTCGTATATATTACATCGAAATTGCGACTCAAAATATGAAAAAAAACACTATTTAATATTTTTTAATACTTTCTTATGTTTTTTAAATACTTTTTTAATATAAAGGTAAACTTTCAAATTTTTCCTTCTTTCATTTTATAAAAATATTTATTTAAATAATTTTAGAAAAATTTTAGGTTATGTTTAATAATTCTATCAAGTTTTACTATTTGCTAAATAATATTTTTAATATTAATAATTTTTAATATTTAATAATTATTTTAGATATTTAGAATAATAGAAGGAAAAAATGACTGACGAAAAGTTAATTTATTATCCATCTTAATTTAATATTTCATTATCTATTTTTATTAAAAATTATTTATTTATAATATAAATTTCACTATATTACTAACAATAATAGCTGCAAATAAGTTTCGAATTAAATTTTTATTCGCCAAAATACCACAGAAAAAAGTCAAAATACAAGAGCAAATCACAATATTTTAGACATTATTAAAAAAAAAAACTATTTTACTTTGATTCTTATATTTTTCTTAATATTTATTTCCGAATATATTTTTAGAAATTTATTTACCTAATATTTTGAAAGTACAATTAAATTACATTCATTAAATTAAAAAGAAATAAAAGAAAAAATATTTTCTAACCTACAAAATTTTCTAATGCATGCAATAAGATGCGTGAATTTACAAAAATTTTTTTGAATTATAAAATTGTTTGTTATCGACGATTATTATTATCAATTTTGTCATTTTTTTATTTTAATTTCACTTATTCCTTTACTTTTCCAACTTATTCGCCATTATTTAATTAGAAAGATCGCTTTGTTTACTTTTCGTCGAAAATATACTCGTAGTACACGAAATGTCCCGATGTTGTCGCAAGTACTGCTGGAGTCATAAAGTGACCATTAAAATTTAGTTCCTTCAAGCAGCGCCACCAACGTCAACTGAAATAGCGCCAAAATTTGAAAAAAGGAATAAAATAGTTAATTTATTTTTTTGTAAACGAATAAAAATATATATTTCAAAGAATTATTGCAAAATCCAGAGATTGGTTTTCGTTTACTCAATTTGTCATTCAATAAATAAAAAAAAGAAATTTAATTAACAAATTTTTTTCGGTGAAGTCAATTTGGTTAATATAAATATCAAATTGATTTTATCATAATATGTGCAGGAGCAACAAATTTTCTCACCTCGTCTTTGATATGTGGCCTCGTCTCGACCTGGATTTTCAGGTCAAATGCGTGGGTACGAAGGACAGATGTCTACGCAGATGGAATGAGTACACAGAGCATATATATATCTATCTGTCTCCTCATAATATATGTATTATATATTTATATTTATGTTTTTTTTTTTAAATAACATTATATAAAAACACATGCATTTTTTAATAATTTAAAATTTCGCGCGCAAATCAAACCCACGTTGTCTACCCAAACAAGCAGATAGAAAGTAAACTCACATATATATTACACTGTATTAGTATTCATTTTTATTTTCAATTTATGTAACTATTTTTGGATAGAAATTTGTACTTATATGTAACGCTTCAAGGTGAAAGAGATCTTAGTTACAAAACTAATTTTAGGTTATGTTTAGTGATTGATTTACCTAGACTTAACGTGTCTTTTTAATTATGTAAAATCAAAATCAGTTTTTATTGAATATTTTCAATGAAGAATTAAACCTCAGTGGTTTATGTCACTCCAAAAAAAAAACAGAAACATAACCTACAATTTTTTTTGCGACTTTGGAGCGTTGTCGACCAGGATTCGAAACGTAAATACTCAACATAGGTTTCTACATGTATATTACCTGGTAACTTACGTCTCGTGTTTTCTATATGTATTTTTATACGTTTGTTAAAAACATAACCTATTAAAGGCACTTTGCTTAAACGTTGTTTATTATTAAATAATTTTTTGTATTAATTTCTGTTTGACCTCTCCTGGTAAAGTTCTAAATGGACATTTGCTTCCAATATTTATTCGTGTAAATTATACAGATTTTTTACAGTATTTTACGTAAAATACGTAGAAAATGTAAAGTATACGCCGAAAACATTAAAGTTACGCGTAACTTATCCAAACTCTGTTGTCGACGAAAACAAAATTAACTGTTAAAAAGATGCGCGCGCATGTTTTCAAGAGCGCGGTCTGGGAGACCGCTGTATCACTAATTCAAACAATAAACCAGCAATTTTTATGCCAAAAAATGAATATAATAATATTTTTTTCGACTTTTTGAAAAATTATGTAACGTTAAATAATATCGTATTCATTCATACACTGGGCAAGGATTATTTGAGTATTTTGCAGAAATTGTGCGCTCGCGGTGGAAAGGCATATATATATATATATGTATATAGCGATAACCATCGCACGTATAAGCGCCAAGCCATCGGCCTACAACGTTTAAATGGGAGAGATTAGACGAACGACCATTGTGAATGCAAAGTCGATATTATCACGGGGTAATGGCCAAGACGTAAGGAATCGCGACTCTCTAAGATTGCGATCATCGGCGGGTATACAGGTATATCTCGTTGCATGCTTGTTTAAAATGGAGGACATACTGATTTAGCCTTGAGCGCTTCACTTTTATAAGTATTAGTATACGTATATATATATAAATGCATTGGGATTTAGAAATACTTCCGCTCTCGACAGTCAATGTTTACTGTCGTCGTTTTACGCTATATGTTATGCTGTTTTCGAGAAAGAAGGAATGAGTGAGAAAGAATAAGAGAGAAAAAGAGAGAGAGAGAAATATTACGTAACTGTTTTGTAATTGGTGTGCATGTGAATCAGCATTTACATGGCTAACATAACCTTACTTTATTGACAGTACACATATGACAGAGTGAATAACCGGAATTTCTGTCAAAATTTTCCAACTGTATTTTGAAATATTTGGTATAAAATATCATTAACATGAACGAGAGACAATTTTATGTTGAAAAGGTAACAGTATTATAGATAAATTTAGTTTAGTAGACTTTCAAAAAGTCTATAAATAACAACGTTATTAGTTTGAGGTTATGTTTATGATATTTCTACTTTTTTATTTACAAAAAATATTGAGCACGAAATATAATATATCATATATATGTTTATATATTTTTTCTTTATTCACCTTTTGGAAAATCAAATTGCAATTTCTGTCCTTGTTTTACGCATACGGTTACCATTGGAAACGCGTGTACTAGACGAGGACATTCTACAAATACAAAATTATTGGCAACTCCTTGAAAACTTATTACCTTGGTAACGTCCCTCCTAAATTAAGGTTTTTCTACAATACTTTATATTTGTATCGATAATTTGGAAAATTTTCTATAAAAATAAAATTACGTAAGTTACGAAACGACGATAAACCCAACGCACAGGTAATTGGTTTCCATTGTCCCTACTTTTGCCATTTGTCATATAATTGTTTTCAACTACCGCACCCTGCTCTAGTGAAAATTTAGTGATTGTCAAAAGTAAAAGTTACTATAAAGTTACAAAATTTTCACTAAAGCAGGGTGCGGTAGTTGAAAACAATTATATGATAAATAGGAAAAAAGACAGAAATATTTTCTATTCTTTTCTACCTTATGTTAAAATTTACGATTTCAGTGTGCGTTATGAAAATTTGGTATATTTATCTAGTGGCATATTTAGAAAGCTTTTTTTCGACATGAATAAAATATAATGACGAAATAATTTGTAAATTACGTAATTTTATTTTTTTTAGAGAATTTTCAAAATTACCGTAAATAAAGTATTGTAGAACAACCTTAACAAATTTTTTTCTAAGTATTTGGTTTCCATTGTCCCCACTCGCCATTTGTCATTATTCTCGTCAACTACCGCACCCTGCTCTAGTAAAACTAATTTTATTATGTAACTTTTAATTTTAACAATAAAGTTACTAAATTTTTACTAGAGCAGGGTGCGGTAGTTGACAAGAATTATGACAAATAGTGAGTGGGGATTTTGGCAAGTGGGGTTTTGGTAATTTACAAAATAACCTAAAACTTAGCAGCGCCACCGTCGTCATTGCCAGTAAACTAAAAACAGCGCCAAATTTAAAAACAAATTTAATTTACTTCATTAAAAAAAATCTTTAGAAAAAAAATTCCGTTTTAGAAAAATTTGAAAATTAAAAAAAATTCATGTTAATAAATAATTTTTGAACGATATTATTATAATGTAAACTTTATATATATATAACACTTGTAAAGAAAAAAAAAACACTAACCTGAATGTCTTTTATGTTACAGGTGAGTCACACTTTTTAGTTCGAAAAAAGAGGTTTACCTTTTGAGAGTGAGAGAGAAAAAGAGGGGGAATATGAGACTGGTGAGTAATATTGTTTTTTCGAATCATTACTCTTTCCACAAATGGATTACGTAAGTGGAAGTTTTTCCACGCGTACTTGAATGCGTCGCGACTAAATATTAATTGCGTGAGTTACAAAAAAAAAGTTGACCTTCTTTAAGAATATATAATTCACAAAACTTCTCAACAAAATTAAAAGGATGTATTAATATTATATCATTTTTTTTTTAAAGTGTCCCTGACATTTTTCGACTAAAAAACAAGGCAATTTTAGGTTTTATCAAAAATATAGGTATATTTAAAGGAACTTTTTTTTTATAAATTAAATAATTAGTAAAATGGAGAGTATATTAATAATTATTTTTTAAATAATTTGTTATTATTATTATTATTATTAAAAATTCGAACAAATAACAATTCTGATAATTAAAATTCGAATAAATAGAGTTTTTTGAAAAGTGAATTTTCGGTTATATAAAAATTCTCTAATATAAAAAATCGGATTAATTAAAATTCTTTCTAAAAAGTAATTTGAACAAATATAAATTTGGCTAAAGAAAAAATTCTATTAAAAAAAATTCTAACAAATTATAATTTTTGTCATTATTCATGCAAATTATTTATTTTCTTGTTATTATATTTATTTATTTTAAGTAACTGATTAGTATTAAATATTGAAATAAAATAAATCCTTTTTTCACCACACATTAGTTCTTAAATTTAAAAAAATTGAAATAAAATTAGTCGATTTTGTGATTTAGATAATATTTGTTTCATTTAGAAACTGAATATTATTTTGCAAATTACGATTGAGTTTTCTTAAAAAACATCTTTTCATCTACTGCTTCCTCGTCGATTATTTCTTATATCTTTTCTTGATTGTTTGTATGTTCTCGCTCCAAAAATGAATCTGAAACATAAAAAAATTTTAGTTAAAAATATTATAATTTTATGTTAAGTTAACATAATGTTATGTTAAATAAAAATTCAAATAAATAGAAATTCTAACAAAATGAAAATTTGAAAAAACTTAAATTTTATTTAGTGAATTTTTGGTATATAAAAAAATTCTATCAAAAAATAATACGAACAAATATAAATTCAGCTGAAAGAAAATTGTATTAAATTAATTTTAGGCATTATTCATGCGACTCATAATAATAATAATAATAATAATAATAAAAATATGAATAATAATAACAATAATAAATAGAAAAATAATAACAAAAAAAAAATAAGGAAAATAATTGAAATAAAATATATGCATTATCCAATGTCCCGTTTCAGGGAAAATTGAATAGCATTCGTATAAATACATATACCTAGTGGCAATGGAAGTTAAACAATTGCACAACTTGAATATTGTTGGTGCTGAGTGTTTTCAACCTTCCGGTTTGAAGAAAACACACAATATACATACATCTCTAATTAATTTAAACTAATTACTTAAAAATCCAAACATTCCAGCTCTGAATAATGTGAAATTACGTAATTTTCTGGGAAAAGGTTTACGGCCGTATAACTATACTGTATATATATATACATATAGATATATATTCTGCATCCAGCGTGCAAATTTTTATAAAGAGAGACGCGGCGATCGTTGGCTTGTTATTAATCTTAATTGCCATCTAGAGACTGCCAATTAACAAGCTGCTGTCACTCGTTTTTCTCTTCGCTCTAGGTCCTATCTTTCGCTATATATGTATAGGTTAGAGTGTGGTGCGCACGCGCACACATAAACACATATGGGACAAAGGGATCCGCGGCGCGCAGGCTCATTGGTATTTTATAATTGCAAAACCACCTATGGAAAATATCAATTATTCGTTGTTATTTTTTTTTTTTTTTTGCAAACGATTATTATTATTATTATATTGCAGGTGGTCCTCTTTTTATTAGGGGTCAAATAATTTCAATGTTTTAAGAACATTTTATTAAACGTAAAACTGAAAGATTCATGTTTCTCGTAAATTAAGAACCAATTTGCCCTTTATACTCAAGTTTATTTCTCTCTCTTCCCCTTCACCCTTTTTTTGTTCTGTCTCACTCTCGGTGTTTTTTTTTTAAAGTTTCATACCTATACGAATTGATGGCAAACATAACCCTATTACAATGTCTTTTTTATCGGCTGGGTTTATGCTGAAACTACTTTTGACCCAGTGAGCTGAAATTTGGTACACTTTTATACTTTTATTATAGTAGGTTACTAGAAAAAATATAACAAAAGTTAATTTAATTTCAATTTTTTACATTTTTTTTGTTCACTCGCGTTTATGCCGAATCCTTTTTGACCTAGTGAGCTGAAATTTGGTACACATTGGAATTACATATACATTCTATTGAAAATTTAAAAAAAAAATATTTTTAATATTAAAAAATACATTTTTATGTGATTAAAAAGAAATTGAAAAAAAAATTTCTGTCAGATTATGATTATTGAAGGAATTATATATTTATAAAGAATGTATAGCTATATATATATTGACTTTGTATTGGATTACATGGAAAAAGCGGAAGCAAGCGACAAGTACTGCCCGCGACCTTATCTCGTAATATTGTGTGTGCTACCCGTAGGAACGAGTTTTCGATCCGCCCACACGATAGAACATTTGAAGCAATGTTAATCCATGTAATCTTAATTCAATGTATTGTAACGCCAGTAGGAAGATAGAGTCAAAGTAAAAGCTGATTACATTGATGATTTTAATACCGCGTGTATAATTTTATTTTTGAGAAATCAATGATATTTATCAATTTTGAGGTTATATTTTCTTAATGGAACTATGGCTATTAGATTTTGAGGTTATTTTCTTAATAAACTATATGGCTATTTGATTTTGAGGTTATTTTCTCAATATTGACTTTGAACTATATTTTCCTTAGACGTTTGAGCTTAAAAAATTTGTTCTTTAATTTTAAGATTATATGTTCTGTCTTTGACATAAGACTTTGTCATTTGACTTAAAAATTATGTTCAACTTTTCATCTATGACTTTAACTTTTGAGGTTATATTTTAATTTTTATAATATTTTATTAACGAAATCTGTAGCTTTATTCCTATCATTGAAGCGTGACGTTACATTTTATTAAGTTACGTTCAGTAAATTTAAGGAAAGTTACTTCAAGTTACGTTACGTAAAGCCACGTTCAGTTAAATTGAGTTACCTTGCGGAACGTATTGTTACGTTATGTTACTTCAAGTGATTGTGTGTAAAGTAACGTTAAGTTATGTTGTGTTACTTTATGTTAAATTACATTAAGTCAATTTTCTTCGAGTTACGTTACGTAAAGCTACGTTCAGTTAAATTGAGTTACGTATTGTTTAGATAAGTTATGTTAAGTTACTTTAAGTGATGTAAAGTAACTTTACGTTATGTTGTGCTTCTTTATGTTAAGTTACTTTAAGTTGCATTGCGATATGTTAAGTTACGTTACGTAAAGTTACCATCCGTTTAATCGAGTTACCGTGTGTTACGTAATCTTACGTCAAGTTCCGTTAATTTGTGTTAAGATACATTAAGTTACGTTACTTCAACTGACGGTATGTAAAGTTACATTTCTATTAGGTTGCGTTACTTCACGTTAAATTGCTTTAATTTAACTTACTTCAGGTTACGGTACTTAAAGTTACGTAACGTTAAGTTGCATTGCGTTGTAAAGTTATGTCAAGTTACGTCACGTACAGCTGCGTTCCGTTAAATGATTTACCTTGCTTTACGTATTTTTACTTTAAGTGACGGTATGTAATGTAACGTTACGTTATGTTGCGTTACTTTACGTTAAATTTTTTTAAGTTAACTTCGGGTTACAGTACGTTAAGTAATGTAATGTTAAGTTGCATTGGGTTATCTCAAGTTACGTTACGTAATGTTATACCTTGCGTTGAATTGAGTTTCCTTGCGTTATCGTTATGTTAATTTACGTTAAGTTAATTTAATTCACGTTACGTAAAGTTATGTGACAACTTTCTGTCTCACCGTTAGTGGGTAACGATATCTTTTTATAATACGCATATATCTATATATTCTTTATTTTTTTTTATAAACATTTCTAGAACCAAAAAAGTTAATCTTGACAGTAAAACAAGAGCAAATCAATTTATTTATATCGTATGAAGTTAAGCGCACATCGAGATGGTTTATTGCCGAGAACGATCAACCGATGTACATCTTACAGAGCGTGTGCACAAACACTCACATACATACGTATACATATAGTGTAAAGAGTACTGAATGGCCGGTAGGAGAAAGATAGGGAGAGAGAAAGAAGAAGGAAAAGGAAAAAAGAATCGAGATTAGCAGCTGATGAAAAGGTGGAACCTCACGAGATGACGTTTTAAGTGCCGATGAAATTGTACAACGATAAATGCACGTATTCTCTCCTTGGTCGAGAGAGAATGAGAGAGAGAGAGAGAGTGAGAGAGAAAGGGAAAGAGAGAATGAAGGGTGGTTATAAAGGGTCGGCTATTTTCCACGCAAAAAGGTGGCTCGTGATAATGCAATGCACGCACGTGTACAGAATTATTTTCCACGACAAATAGAGACATTGATTTGATTAAAAAGAATGTGCAATATATCAAGAATTCCTCAGAGAGAAGCACACACTATTCTTTGACTGTGAGTGATTTTATGACACGTCAAAAATTACAAATACAAACATGCACGTCAGGACAATTTTTTTATTGTGACAATAATAGTGTTTTAATTTTTTTTTCTTTTTTCATTTTTTTTTTCAATGATATAAATTTTTTTAAAAGTATTTAAGAGGTCTACCCACTTTAAAAAAAAAGAAAAAATCGATATTTTTATTACATTTTTTGAAAGTATATATATACATCCAAAAGTATCATACCTACTAAAATATTATAAAGATCGGAGTAGTACAACTGAAACTTGTTACTAAGGAGTTTTTTGGGTCACTGTTTATGAATCTGATGTCTGTTTTTAAAAATTCAAAATGGCGGATCCAATATGGCTGACTTATTTCTTAAAAAATGTTGGATTCTTTTGGAACGCGGTATTTGGGTTTTTTTTTTGGGTCGTTGATTACAAATCTGACATCCGTTTTTAGAAATTCAAAATTGCGGACGCGTTTGAAAAATTCATCAGATTAATTTAAAACTCGTTACTCGATGATTTTCGGGGTCGCTGATTACAAATATGATATCAGTTTTTCAAAATTTAAAATAGCCATTTTGGATCCGCGATTTTGAATTTTTAAAAAAACCGACATTGGATTTGTTAACAGCGACCCAAAAAAAACCCGCAGATACTGAGTTTCAAAAGAATCTAAGATTTAAAAAAAAAATCGTCCGCCATATTGGATCCGACATTTTGAATTTTTAAAAACTGACATCAGATTCGTTATCAGCGGCCCGAAAACTATTATTTACAAACGGTGACCAAAGAAAAATTTAACCTTAGATTTTGATGTCATCCCAAGTAGAAATATCCGTAGCTCGCCGTAATTAAACACCGGCATGGTACTGATCCAATACTGGCTGTCGGTATTGACTTTCAGTACTGGCAGTGTACTGACTAATACACCGAATCAGTACTATGTCGGAGGTAAAAAAATATTGAAACCAGTACTGGCAGTACACTGTCATTCACACCGAATCAGTACTATGTCGGTGATAAAAAACATTAAATGAAAAAGTCTTTAAATTATTTCAATAGGTAGAAAACGATGATTTTTTATTTTAAAAAATGTATATTAATTTCTTTCGAATACTTTCCCTCAAAATTTTGGATGTAATTGTAATGTATTATTATATACCTATATAAAATATATTTATGTTTTTTTAGTTATTTTAGTACTCATTGAAATATGTACATTAAGTTATTTATCATGCATACAATAACAATAAGTTGAGAATTTTTTTCTAATAGTTTTAAAAATAAAGC